AAAACTCTTAATCTAAAATTTAATAATTAAGTTTTGATTTTCAAAATGTGAATTAATTTGAAGTTTTTTTAATTCCAAAATTTGAATTAAATTAGATAATTTTTGATAGATCATTTGAATTTGTAACTCCGTTCTAGAATATTGAACAAAATGGGTCTGCGCGACCTTTAAATTAAATTTTATTTTATTGAAATTTACATTTTTGAATATCATGGCTCAGTGGGACCTTTAGTTCAAAAACGCAGAGCACGAAGTACGCAAACGAGAAAAAATTTAAACACAGTTTTTTTTTTAAATTCTAAACTTATCCGGTATTTGGGATTACATTTTTCCCTATCAATCCTGTAGTTGTAATATACAAGATCATTTTTAATTTTTCAATCCGATAAAAATTTATTATTATGTTATTATTATTTTTATATTTTAATAAGATATTCCTGATTCCAACAAAAAAAAAATTAATTAAAACCTAATTTTAGTTTTTTATTGCATTCTTTTTTTATTTATTTTTATGCATTATTTGAAACCCTTAAGGCAAACCACTCCTTCTCTACTGAACAAAATTAAGTTCTTCCTATAAAGTTACAAAATCTTCAACGGCAACAATAAAATGTATAGATACAAACAATTTAAAAACTGAATAATACTCATATTTAAGAAAAAAGCTGATAAAAAGCTAAGCTGATCGAAGTAGAGATTTTTTTCCATAGTTTTTTTTTTTTGACCGATCACACGTGAGTCGTGTCAAGGGGTCATGTTATTTTTGTTCCCCATTAAATTTGAAATTTCTGTGATTTTTCTTTAAAATAGTAAAGAATCTCGAAATGGATCACTCTTTATGACCCTAAAATTAAAAATATTAATATTTTTGCAAGCACATTAATTTGTCTAAAAAATATAAATTAATAATTTAAACAATCAACTATTTTTACGTGTATTGCTTTGAAAAATTCGGTGAGCTGTTTAGTTAGAATAAAATTGCATGCAAGCTAGCTATAAAATATCATGAGATTTCGTTGAGTGTGCGATTTTCTTAGTTTAGAAGACTTAAAGCAATTTTTTGTCAAAGCAAAACCGTTAAAAATGTTGGAAAATATAGATTTTGTTATACTCATAAATAACTAAATTATACTGACTTTTTTATGGCAAGTTTTTTTTAAATAAAATATTTTTATAATACTAATAATAATAATGGAAGTTTGGCAGTCAAAATTGGGTATACAAATAAACCCAGAAAAATGCAAATATACATTCTTACAAAAACAAAACTACTTGTATTTTACTACTTAGCTAACCACATTTAATATATATCTTTAGTTGCTAAATTTATATTTCTTAAGTTTGTTTTTATATTTCTTATACTTTTTTTTTCTATTCTATCGTATGCATGTTATTTGCTTTACGTTATATAGTTAAGTATATACTTATATATTGTTAAATAACTGTATGCTCTATTTTTAGTTAAAGTTTTTCAGTATACGTATGTATGTTTTATGCTTGTAGTTATAATATATGACTGTTTGAATATTGCTTCTGTACATTTTCTGTTGCTCTTGTTTGGGGGACGTAAGCACCTTTCGGGTGTACATTATGTGTTATTGGAGTTCCTTATTAATATTTTCACATGCAATTTTTATTTTTTTATTTCCAGTTTGGGGAAGCCATTACACATTATTTTGCTTATCTCTGTTACTATTAACTTATGTAAGCTTTTATGTTCATTTTCTTCTTTTATGGCTTAATAGATGTAGTTGGAGTTGTTTTTTCTTGCATGCATATTTGTTGTTGTCAATATTATTATCTTCATAAAATCTAGTTTATTAATGCATCTTTTTCGCCATCAGCCGTTGAATTCGTTTCATGTGACAGCACATCTAGTAATGGTGTTTTTATATCGGGTTCCAATGCCGAGTGTCCATTGCATTGTTCGCTTGCGGGTTGTGGGTGGTTTTCCACTGACTGTTTAATGGGATCCTCTGTCGCTTGATGCATTGTTTGTTTGTTGTTGCTGCGTTTATCAGTTTTACCCTGTTAGAAATTTTAAAATTTGAGTTACTATTTACTGAATTCGAACTGTTTGAGAAAATAACATTTTCGGTTTTTTGTTGCGGAAATTTTTGTTGTTCACAACAGTTTTAAAAGCGCGATCGCATAAAATGAAAATAAAAGATTTAATAGTATAATAATTTTTATACAATAATACTTTTGACAACACGTAAAGGAGCTGTTTTTATTGCTGTGTAAACTGATACCTCAACACCCGCGCCGTTAGGTCTGCTYTCTCCAGACTGGACAAGGAAGCAACACAAATGGGTCTGGCAGTGAATGAAGGCAAGACGAAAAACCTCCTGTCATCAAACAAACAGTCGTCGCACTCGCGACTTGGCACTCATGTCACTGTTGACAGTCATAGCCTTGAAGTTATAGATAATTTCGTCTATCTTGGAACCAGCGTAAACACCACCAACAATGTCAGCCTAGAAATCCAACGCAGGATAACTCTTGCCAACAGGTGCTACTTCGGACGGAGTAGGCAATTAGAAGCAAAGTCCTCTCCTTCTTACTATATATTATATTAGGTGTAGGAGTGTTCGAGAGAAATGTTTTGCGAAAGACTTATAGTTCTTTGCGCATTAGCAATGGTGAATACTTCGACGCAGTACCCGCCGGAGAAAGGAGGGTAGAGGAAGATCTCTACTCCGTTGGAAAGACCAGATGAAGGAGGAACAGGCAGGCCCATCCGATGGTCTTGTCTACTGAATCGCCTAAAACCCTCGTCAGATATTAAAAAGGACAGTCGTGATAGTGGATTCATCATTTACGGCTGACGTCCTGTAAAACAAACTTTTTTGAGCCAACGAATGCGGAAACAGCGGATGTATGGACGAAAGAGCATGAAAGGCATTTTAGATCAGATGTTATCTACCTTGTATACTGCAAGTAAGGAGGGTAGTCTGGGGCTGTTTTTTCTTATAATAGACTAAAAGAGATTTAATTCTTGAAGAAAATGTGTTCACGTACATCGAAGAAATGCATCAAGACCAAAGCGACGTCATTTATCAGCACAATTCTGAGGCATATCACAGGGCCAACGTCGATTATGAAGAACTGCACAGAAGCCGTAGAACAAAAACGAACTGGATTTCGTTCATTTGAAGACGTGGTAAGTGCAAAAGCTTAATGCCAGCAAGGATTCAACAAAATCGATCCATTTCTGAAGCGCATGGTTACTGGAGATAAAAAATGAGTCACTAACGACAAAGTCAAGCGAAAACAATCCCTGCACTCTTAACAACTGAAAAGTCTGAAGGAAGCAATCTCATAGCAGCAACCAGCTTTGACCAATAGGAAAGAAATCGTCTTCCATCAGGTTAACGCCAAGCTTATACTATAAATATATAGTGACAAAAGCTTCGTCAGATTGATTGGGAGGGTCTTATGTCTACATAGGTGTTGTTGGGGACACCAAGTGATTACTACTTTTCTTGCTTATGGCGAATAGTTTTATTGGAGAAAAATTCAAGTTTTTTAACTACGCTTAATAAAACCTTAAACTTAAAGCAAAAATATGGTATTAATTTTTAAAAGATATTATATTAATACTTACTTGTAGATAGAAAGTCATTAGTTGTCCTTTGCCCTTAACGCTAACAAGTCCACGTTGCTGGAAGGTGTAACCGAATTCTTGGAGAATGCCGCAAGTCTCATCTGTCACCTGTCAATAAAAAATTCAATATACAATATTATTAGTAAGCATAAACGAAATAAACCCTATAACATATAGATATTTCTTTTACAAAAAATCATACGTCAACAAATTTTCGGGTATATTTTTTCATATATGTAAGTATGTATTTGGCATCTTATTTAATTCAATATATGTAAGTATCATATATTTGCTTACCTGTATAGCGCCTGCTTTGCCCGTACTCTCCATGCGCGATGCCACATTTACCGTATTACCCCAAATATCATAGTGTGGCTTACGTGCACCAATTACGCCAGCCGTGATGGGACCATGATTGATGCCCATTTTGAGCACAAAATGATTGAACGACTGTTCATTGATACCTTGCAAAGCTTTCTTCAACTCCAAAGCGAATTCGACCAGCACTTCCAAATGGGACCAGCGTTTGGTGATCGGATCATCCGGTTTACTTACGCGATTCGAATTAATGCCACTCGCAGCCATATAAGTGGAACCAATTGTTTTGATCTTAATGATATCTTGAAATTGCGGTAGCTCCAATAACTGTAATGTATTAAAGAATGCTAATAATATTAGCACACTTAAAAATAAACGAAATTTACCGCATCGAAATCCGAAATAACTTCGTTGAGAAAACGTAAACACTCAAGTCCTTGATTATTGACAGTTTCCTCGGAATAAAAGTCTGTAAAAGTTCGAAAATATTTCAAATACCAGCTCAGCTGATTGAGGCGAATGCTAAGAAAGTAATACCTGAAAAATTGGGCATGCTCGCAAACAGCACACCCACCTCAGCATAACTTTGCGAGTATAGATCATCGTGTGAACGTTTAGTATTCTTCATAAAATGCTCGGCCACATGTACCGGTAGTATGTTGTAGACAAGTGCCTCATTTCTTCGTCGCATATCTGTTGCCTTCTCACGCTGCTCAGCTACTTCGGTTTTCCACTTGAATATAACACGATCCTCACGATCCACCTGTTGTGTGTTTTGTGAAAATGTGTTAGAAGTGGTATTTCAGAGACCTAATGGATTAGCAAAAGAACACTCGGAGGGATAAGTAGTAAAGTGGTAAAACGTCACTACGACTGGTCTATATATTCACGATTAAATTTCATCCACGCAGAATTCCACAATCACTACGACAGTGCGGAATATATTTTTAGATCACATGTGACTCGAAAAATATCCAATTGATCCAATTGATGCCCAGAGCATACTGAAATTATGGAGGGAATACTTCTAAAACCTGCTGAAGGACAGTGAATGTATAATACCAAGAGATGGTGAATCCGATTCCCCAATTGATGACGATGGAGCAGACGTTCCACTGGCCGACCATGAAGAAGTTCAAATAGCTATTACCCGCCTGAAGAAAAACAAAGTGGGGGGGGCCGGCGAAGAACTGATAAGGAGCATGCATCAGCATCTTTGTAGAATATGATCGGACGAAAACTTGCCCAACGATTGGGTTTTCAAGGAAAAGTGTGCTCTGCTCAATTCAAAAAAGGGATCACTCACAATCCACGCTAACTGCTGTGGGATAAGCCTTCTAAACATTACATATAATGATCTACTGAGAGTACTGTGTGAAAGACTGAAAGCCAATGTCAACAAACGGATTGGACCTTATCAGTGCGGCCTTAGACCTGGAAAATCTACAATCGACCAAACTTTCACCATGCGCCAATCTTGGAAAAGATCCGTAAAAGAAAGATCGACACCACCCCTTCGTCAATTTAAAAGCCGCCTTCGACAGCACGAAAAGGAACTGCCTTTACACCTCTATGTCAGAACTTCCCAGAAGTTCGATGCCAAGAGAAGTTGCAGTCAAGGAAATTCTCTATCGTTTGCCTTCTTTAATCTATTGCTGGAGAAAAGAATACGATCTGCAGAGCTAAATAGAGAAGGTACAAACTTCTATAACAGTGCACAGCTACTGGTGTACGTCGGTGGTTGATAATATTGTTGGCCATAACAACCGCGCCGTTTGTTCTGCTTTCGCTAGACTGAATAGGGAGGCGAAGAGTGTGGGTCTGGTTGTGAATCAGGACAAATCGAAATATCTCCTGTCATTAAACAAACTATGGGTGCACTCGCGACTTGACTCCTAAACTACGTCACAGTCATAACTTCGAAGTCGTAGATAATCTCGTCTATCTTGGAACCAACATTAACACCAACAACAATGTCAGCCTCAAATGTCTACGCAGAATAACACCAACAGGTGCTGCTTCCATCTGAATAGGCAATTGAGAAGTAAAGTCCTTTTTCGACGAGTAAAGACCAAATTCTAAAAGTCACTCATCTTCCCCGCCCTGCTATATAGTAAAGAGGCGTGTATGATGGCAACTTCTACTTCGAATACCGCCGTCGATGGAACGATGAGCAGTATGAGATATACGACGACATTGACATAGTTCAGCGAATTAAGAGACAGCGGCTATCCTGGCTAGATCACGTCGTCTGAATACACGAAATCACACCAGCTCCGAAAGTATTCGACGTAGTATCCGCCGGGAGAAGCAAAGGTAAAGGAAGACCTTCACTCCGTTGGCAAGATCAGGTGGAGAATCTTCAATCGGCGTATCAAACGTACTACTCAATTGTAAAACAATTTCTTCTCTTTCATAAAATCGTAAGGCAGATGATACAAAATCAAGTTATTTCAAGTTCAGCAAGATTGCTTAAATACCTCCATTGAAGTTCTACATAAGTTGAGTGTTCCTTTGCAACTCGTTCTTAAAAGCAAGTGTACTTACATGACGCACAAGAAACGACAATGCCAATGTGACAAGAATCAATACCGCTGACAGTCTGTAAGCGGTGGGTATTGTGCTAAAAAAAAATAAAACAAACGATTTTCAATACCCTTAAAGAGCTTCAAGTAGCTACAAACTTACGGATAGGCGGCCAGTTCGTCCTCAAATGAATATAAATCGCCCAAGAGAAATATATTGCAATAGCAATGCAGTGCTACAAAATAATATGATTTATGATTTTAATATAAATTAAATAGTTCGAAAGGATCGCACGAACAATTACCTGTTATAACGATCATTAGAACAATTTTTGTAACATGTGTCAGCTGGGCAATGACGGCAATCGCAATCAATATCAACACGGCATAATTACTCATGTATGAGGGAAACATATGAATTTCATCCGCCATAGTAGCATTCGCTAGCAATGATGCCAAAGATGGTTCAGCTGAAACAATAATACCCTCACCCTCAGTGATAGGTTCGATTTCACTATCCAAAACGACATGATCCGTTTTCAAGTAGGTTACATAGAAGTACTAAAAATATAGAAGGTGAAGTAAAAAAATTATAATTATTTAAGAGCTTGCTCCTTCTCTCTTTCTCCCATATTACTCACCATATCCACAACATTACTGAGCCCCATGGTCATGGCCAATATAATCGCGGTCAACTCTCGCACGAATGTTATGTCGTTGAAACGTTTGCTAAGGCTTACTAAGGATTCAGGTAAATATTTTGGAAAACTCTCAGCTATTGAAATAAAGATAAGCATAGTCATGGGTATTAAAGGTGCAGAAATATTTATCAGATGCAGCGGCGATCTAAAAGAAAAATTTTATTTTTTATGGAAGAACAAAGAAGACAATGCTTAATTATAACAAACCTTGGAAGCACTGCATAGGAGTAGCCAATGTCTAATGCTTGCACAAGCAAAGTTGCGAGCAATGGTAAAGAAGAGAAGGGTTCACGATGGGCTGCATATGCAGCTTCCAAACCTTTGTTTTTGAATTTCAAGAAGATATTCGTACAACTCGAAAGATCTCTGCAAAAGAGGTAGAATTGAATATAAATAAATACCATAAGTAAGAAAGCTAAATAAATATAAAAATTCCTTTCCATTAACCTAGATATAAACAAGTAAGGAAGGACAAAGTTCGGATATATTCGAATATTTCATACTCTAACAACTTGAAAGGATTAAAGCCAGGAAAATACCTTCATGTACATAAGATTTGTTAGTTTTATGGAGTTTAGGGAATGTTTTCACCTGATTTCATTCATTTTCGCTTATTAAGGTTGTATGCTGGGTTTGGGACCCGCAACGTAGAAACCACTCCCAATGAAAAGAAAACAACAGCCTCGGACGAAAAACCCCACTTTTGATGACAACCACAGCAAACGTATTAAGGATGTTCTCATAAAAGGAAAGACTGACATAACTTCGGTCCAAGAAATGCGATGGATGGGGCAAGGACGGAGACAAATGGGTCCTTATGACATTTACTACAACGGCCATCTAAAGGAGCGGCGTGGGATTTGTGGTGAAAGAAAGACTAAGTTGTCGAGTCCTGATATTCACTCCGGTCAACGAACATTTAGCCACAATCCTCATCAGAGCAAAATGTTTCAAATAACATTGATTTGCGGCCACTCCCGGAGGAAAGAAAAGGACGATATGACCAAAGATGCCTTTTAATGATCCGCTAGAGCGGACCGACGAATAAAGAGCAAACTATAAAAATTCCTCATCATTCTCGCCCTACTATATGGAGGAATCGACAGTGATATCATCTGATGAGTCGGCCTTAGGGGTGTCCTTTGCGTATGGCAACGGCGAGTACCACAGTCATTGGAAGGATGAGCTGTATAAGATATACGCCGTCATGGACATATATAGTTCAGCTGCCCTAGCAAGGTCATGTTGTTCGGATGAAAAAGTACACTCTAGCTTTAAACGGTTTCGGTACAGTACCCGCCGGTGGAAGCAGAAGAAGAGGAAACCCCCACTCCATTGGGGAGATCAGGTGGAGAAGAACCAGACTGCACTTGGTATCTCGAATTGGCGCCAAATAGCGAAAAGAAGAAACGACTTTCGCCTATTGATTTGTCGCACTTTTAGTAGTTTTCAACAGTACCGTTATATCAATTTTTATAGTCGATAGTGGTGCTGTCCTTGACGAATTTAGTTACTATAGCTTAAATGTTTAGGAGATATTTTTATATATAGAACCAATTAGAGGGCAGGACCATGCTGATTTTTTTAAATCTTTAGCCAACAGATAACCCTTGCTATTGCGATTCCCTATACCAAATATCAGTTCTATGTCTTAGCTTAGTACTAAGGTATGGATTTGCGATTAATGGCGTTTCGTGGGCGTGGCAGTGGGCGAATTACGCCCATCTTTGAACTCGTCCTCACTTTGTCAATGATATTGTAGCATCGATGCAGCCGAAGTTAAAGGTTCTACTTGTATTTTATATTTATTGCAAAAAAATTGCTTCTACTCACTCATGACCATCTCGAGCGATTAGCTCCTCTTGTAGGCGTACTTTGAAGTTGTTGTTCGGACTGATTACTTTCACTATACGTACATTCCTAACAGCGCCTCCGTCAACTGCCTTCTCAACGATTGCCATTTTTTCAGCCTCCGTTTTTTTACCAGCAACAATTTCACTACATTCTCTATTCCTTTTGGCAACGGGCGAGGAGAACTGATAGAAAAACATTTAAAATTGAAATAAATATTTGCATTTAGAAATATAACGTTTTTGAAAAATTTACCGGTTTCAAAACATTGGTTATGAAGTAGGTCTTCAGACCTGCTATACGCAAAGCCTCATCCATGCGTTCACCATAGGCCGGTTCAACCTCAAAAGCGCCATTAAGAAACGCTAGAGTTTTGTCCGAAATATGCACACGTCTGTAAGTAATAAAATGAAAAATAAATTGTTCACTTGCTGTATGGTAACCCACTCACCCGGCTTTGCCGCTTGATTCCATTTTATTAGCCAACTCAACATCTTTGGAATATATATCGAATTGCCACTGCCGCTGACCAAGTATACCAGCCAATATAGCGCCGGTATGTATGCCCACTCTCATATCAACAGGCGAATTGGCCTTCTGTTGCACATATCTGCACACACACACACGCACGCATACAAAGTGGAATAAATAGAGACACAGAGATGTTGCAGTATTACAAGGAAAAATACAAAAGTTTATCATGAGACACATACATATGTATGTATATGTGCATAATTATGTGGTGTTAGCATTGCTTAGACCAGCAATGGGGTGTGGCAAATACTTACTTAATAGCTTCCACCATTGAGAGACCCATATGTACACAGAGCACAGCATGGTCAGGACGTTCGTCAGGTGCACCACTAATGCAATAATAGCAATCGCCAAGGATTTTAATTCTTAACTGATGGTATTTCTGTGTAATTAAAGGTGAGAAAAGTGACAAGTTTACTTTCGTGCCACCAGCTTATGTATGTACGTATGTAGGTGCATACATATATGTTTGTATGTGGCACTAGTAAGTAGATGCTATAAATATGATTGATCTGCCGGATGTGTTGTGTTGTAAGCGAATGTCGGCAAGACTGAAGGCCGTTAGACAATCAGCAAGTTATATGTTAATGGTGGATATGTGTATGTGTTCATACGGTATGAAGGATGCGATGTGTTTATAAAAATAATAAAAACCAACAAATCGTCTTGAATTAAATAATAATAATAAAATATTTTGCAATCCAGAAACCTACTCGAAAGAAGTTAGATTCCATACGACAGATATTTGCGTTTCGTTAGGTTATTACCTTTTGAAAATTAAATTTGCGTTCAAGGCTAGTAAGGCATATCTGACCTCGCTATCAGTAACATCGAGTCACTTAGTGATCCATAATCTACCCCGTGTAACGAGTCTCTGCATCTCTACATATGACTCCCCTCTCCCTATGGTCCGACTAGGTCGGTACAGCACGTTTAATGGGCCTACTATTGGATGACCTCCGTGACATCTTATCTGAACCCTAACACCCTAACGGGGACTAGATAAATGTTAAAAGAACAGCCAGCCATTTAGTGATACTAAGCTGTCTGCTATCAGTGACATGTGAACGGGTCATTGCTCCGTTCTTTTTGTGCGTTCTACCACCGGATAGCTGTAGCTTGGCCTGCGAAGGGCTGCCATTACTTCTTGCTCTACCACAAGATCCTTTTGGCTCAAGGTGAACCGCTAGAGATGAAGTAAATTTGGATTGGCCTCAAATTTGATGTTTGATATGGTTTGCGAGCCGGTGGTATTCTCACGCCATGATAACCGACTATTTGATGCCTGAAATTTAAGCTCGTAATCTCGGTGCTATTTGGTTTCAACTAGAAGGCACCATTTCCCAAACATCGCATCAGTCAACAGATTTATTGAGAGAAAACTTCGGTGAGCAGATAATTTCACGGCTTGTACCGGCCACCAAGACCATGTTATATCACAGCTTTAGTTTTCTCCTGCAGAGATTTGTAATGTCTAAAGTCTATGCGGGGAAACCCGCTTCGAATCAGACCTTGGAGTAAAACATTACGTGTGTCAATCGCAAGTTACCATTCAAAATGCACGAACGAGTCATCGAAAAATAGACTTAACGGATGGACTATCTGAGACGTAGATGCGGCCAATACTTGAAAGAGATAATTTTCAAAAAAAAATATAATTTTCCAAAAGGATTACGAAAACTAGACGGCGGTTGACATTCTCAAGTAGCCAAGGAGATGACTAAAAGATGGTAAGTTTTAAGAAAATTTCCAAGTAAAATTTATAACATTTTTCAAAATTTGATTGGGTTTTTTATCAATTCTAATTACAATAAAATTGCTTTATAAATTAAATTCAAAATTATTCATAGTTAGTAAGGCATTATAAGCATTTACCTCCGACAGACTATCGAATCGCGCAAATAGTTCGTTTAACATTTTAACAAGGTCCTGTGCACTGTAAGTAGACGATATGGCTGTAAAACCAACGATGTCCGCATAAAGAATGCTGAAATTATGCAAAACAAAAATTTTATAAAAATTAATAGGTTCAATATTTCCAAATTTGTAAGAATATTGTAACGAAACATAATACAGTACATTTATATTTTATTCATAACATACCTCACATTTTCATGCCTGCTCATATAAATTTTCTTGAACGGTTCCGAGCTTGTTGAACCGAGATCCTGGCGCATTTTTACAGCTACGTGCTTCGGTAGTACAGACAGAAGTAAACGTTCCTGGATAGAAATATTCAAAAATATACCAAATACAAATATAGGACAAGTAAGTAACGAGACTGGTTTTTGATGTCAGAAAGTTTAAGATCGACAGTCAGATTTTATAGAATAAATTAACTATTTATAATTAAATCTATTTAGCTGGAGCTTTGCATTTCACTCTTTGTTTCCTCAGAATAGAACTTAGAAAATACAAACAGAAATATTTTTAAAGTCTTAAAATGCTAAGTATATGACTAAATTTGACCCAAACTGACTAAAAAACAATACTTTAAAGTCTTTCAATACATATTATTATTATGATACAGGCATGCCAAAAATTAATTTCTTTTTTCCAAATAATTTCGTTTTCCATACATTTGTTATAAGTGTTGGCTGGGATGGTCTTCAGCGCCTTAGATAATAATATTTAATTGCTTGAATTTACTCATGGTCCATTCCCCGAAAGAGGTTTTTCAGTTTCGAAAATAGAAAAAATCACAAGACGCCGAATATGGTGACTCAACGATGACTCTCGTTTCGAGTAATAAAAATCACCTTTACTTTAGACCGATCTTCGTTTTTTTCGGTTCGGCTCATTTTTGGAGAGCTATTCCTGTGCTATCTCTCGAAGTATTACAAACTTCCCAAGAATACTGCTATGAGCAAAAAAAAGTATGACTTTGTTCATAATTTTAAAATTCTTAAATTATTCTGAAAAATCTTTGTCGCCTCCTAAAGTAATTCCCCTTGGCGCCAACGTTTTTTCTAATATTCGAAAGAGTTGTTCAAGTAACTATACGATACCGACTCAAAAATTTGAGTTTGCTTAACAGCCACAAGTCAAACGGAGCTAAATCAGGCAAATACGGTGGTTGCAGCACGATGTTGGTTGAAAATTGGGTAAAAACTCACGAAGAATCAATGCAGTGTGCGACGGTGTATTATCGTGGTGCAAAAATCAACAGTTCTTGACACTTAATTCCGGACTCTTTTTACGAATTGCTTCGTGCAAACGACTCATAACACTCAAATAGTATTCCTTGTTGACAATTTGGTGGGTCGGTAGGAGTTCGGAGTGCATCATACCTCAGTAATCGAAGAAAACTGTCAACATAGATTTGATTTTTGACCTGCTTTGAAGGGCTTTTTCCAGCTTTGGCTCACCTTTGACGCGATATTCGACCAATTGATCGTGTTTCCGGGTCGTAAGCAAAGATTCAAGACACATCGGCAACAATAATATCTTTCATGACATCTTGGTAGTCGGAAAACATTTGTGAAACAGGTGTTAACGCAAAGCTGTTTTTCAAAAAAAATCAGGTGTTTTTGATATCAATCGTATTTTCACTTTTTTTCAGTCCCAAATGATCTTTCAAAATGGTTTTAACTGATCTTTTCTATATTTGCCAGTAAGATCTCCGACTGTTCATCGTCGATTCTCAATCACCGATTGATTTGTTTTATTGACATGTTGATCATCAGTCGATGTTGATGGCCGTCCTGGACGTGGTTCGCCGTCCACGAGTTCTTGAAACTCTTTGAATAATGTGTACCAATGAAAAACACTTGCTTGCGACAAACAATTGTTACCAAACGCCTTTTCCAACATTCTGTATGTTTCCACCAGGAATTTCATTCCGCAAACAAATTTTATTGGAACTTCTTTCTTGAATAATTTCACTAATCGTAGAAATTGCCGAATGCCCCTAATTGTACTTCAGAAAGATCAGCATATACTAAACACTAATGATTATTTTGATGTGTTATTTGCACAGGTGTTGCTGAAAGTCATACCCCATACAAAAATATTTCGACGAAAAGATTCTATCACAAAATTTTAATTAAAAAGTCTTACTATGTTTTGTTCACAGTAGCATAAACGAAAGTTGTAAATAAAAAAAAACATTTTTCGGTTGACGCGCGTAAAATCAGTCCGAATCATATTTGATCAGATGTGCTATTTACTTAAATTTAAAGAGATCCAAGTAAAATACTTAAAAAGAGTTAATCCTGCAATTTTTGTATTTAAATTATTGAAAGACTACTTTATCAATTGCCAACCTGTTCAGCGGATTGTTCCTCAATAACCATTTTTACTTCCAAACTCTTCTTAGCCTCTAGAAAAGCACGCCGCTGCTTCGCCTCACTCATGAAATAACACAGCACACCAATAAGAGCCGCAGTGAAAATCATAATAAAACTGGCTATCATCTGGAAAGATTTTAATGTTATTAATTTAAAAACCTATTATTGCATGCAATGTTTACTTGCTCCCAGAAGAGCGGTCTCATATTGCCATACGTAAATGCGGTTAGGGGAAACATTACCAAACTAGCGAAACCCAACAGACAACCGCCATAAAAAAGCTGCATGGGCAAGGTAATATAGATGAGAAAGTTGAAAAGTGCGATCCAACCTAGAACTTCTCTGTAAAATAAAAGAGATAGAAGGAATAATATAAAATTTTTCTTTCATACAAAATTTAATGAAAAATGTTTACCTTGGGGATGGTTTCGTTTGCAGCTCATAATAGGTTAGAATATTGGCAAAAAATAGAAACCAAAGCATTAGTGTACCGTGCAGCGTTAAACGCTTATGCACCGTTTCGAATCGCTTGCGATCGAGCACACGCCGATCCAGCATTACTCTCATCATTATTAAAGTGACGATGGAGAACACCAGAAACGCTTTAAGCATATAAACACAAATGACTTCATACACCATAAAAGCACATAACTTGGTATAAAAGCAAGAGTTACAAACACAAACTACTCACCATTCGGTACCATTTCCGATTGGTGCGGTATAATCAAGATCCAAATGGTGCAAAGAAATGTTGCAAATATGAACCATTTGGAGCCTGCACGCCGCTGTTTGAAAACATAGTTGCGAAACAGTTTCTCCAACACAGCTTCGGGTATATCGACCACATTATTGTCCGTATTGCCATTCTTGCCATTGCTGCCGACTGTACCCTTTTCAGCATCGGAAGCGTTGTAACCGCCGTTCTCCGTTGTGGAACTCGTTGGTTTGTGGTTCTTTCGTAAGCCATTCAACGGTATATTTACCGTTGATCTGGTCTCAAGCATTCTGAAGTTAGTTTTATATTTGAATTTGATTAGTCGTTTCTGTTTTGTTTTTTTCCCAGTTTCACCCAGTTTGGTGGTTTGTTTTTTGTTTTGGTTCTGTTGTTGTTTTCAAATTTAAATCGATTGTTCGTTTAGCTGTGATGGCGTTAATTTGATTGTTGTCCCACTAAATATTGGTATTCTGACTCACAACCAAGTAAGTGTGTATGTATGTATGTGTATGCCACGAAAATTATTTGTTTCAGTATGCTGAGACCTGTTGCATGAATGAAGATAGTATGGGAAAACTAGTTTTAATAATAAATAAAAGTTGCAATAATAAAAATAAGTTAATTTGTTGTAGAAGCCGATTAACTTATTTAAACGTGATTGTATTTGAAACGAATGCACTTAAAATTGTATTCCAGCACCCACATCTTTGAATGTAGAAATTGTATTTTTATTTTTATTTTTATTTCAAATAGTGATTTGTATTGATATGATTTGGCCTAGTAAAAATGAATCAATTATTTTTGCCCACGTTGTATAGGTGCGAGCAGGTTACGCTATATAGCGCTAAAAAATAATATTTAATCTAATTGTTTTACTCAGTAAGTAGAAAAATACATATCTTATAGTTTTACTACAATAAAAACGTAAATAGCAGTAAGTTTGTAGTCGTGCTGAATTTAACTACTAATTTTGCTTTTGTCGATTTTTTTACGAGAATTTTAATGTTAAAGATACATTATGTATTACGAGTATATGATATTGTCGAGTCCTACCATCTTGTAAGCATTTCTCCGATTGCCCAGAAGCTTTGAAAATGAAACTCATGATCTCGTGATTGGCCACCAAGATCATGTGATATCACATTGTTATACTTTTTTCTGTGGAGATATGTAAAGTTATAAGTCTATGTGGACAATCCCGCTTCGATTCAGGCCTAAGAGCAAAACATCATAAGTTTCATTCGCCGGTTACCGGTCGAAATGCTTCGAGAAGTCATCGAAAATTGGACTTAAATCATGGACCATCTGAGAGCTTGCCGTGATCAAAATTTGAAAGTGATAGTCTTCAAAATAAATGTCAAAAAATGTTCTTTCGAATGTTAATAAACATTTCCCATTATACTTAACGTTTCCTTGTTTTTTCTTTAAAAAGGTAGGGAATCTCGAGATGGATCACCTAATATTTATATGAGGCTGAGTAGAAAAATAAACCTGGTATTGGTCGATCCTTTTGGGCAGCGAATGGTTACTGATATTAAAAAGTGTGCTACCTACAACATTTGAAAACAGTCATGACCGGTGATCCAGCACACACGGACCCCAAGGAGCGTCGGTCAGGAAGGTTTTGCTAAGCGGTTGATGATATTGACAGGGTTACATCTACTATGAGCTGCTCCGCTATAGTCAAACTTTTAATTCGGACTTTCATTAATAAAATAATAATTTCAATAAAATAGGAGCTGAAGCAAATAAAGTGCTATAAAAAGCACTGGATAGACGATCCTCTGAGGAGAAATGAATATTACAGCATTACGAGAATTTGACTGAACTCTGCATGGAAACTAAAGTCTCCCCCGAACTATATTCACAAGAAGAATATCAGTACTGTGCTAATTAGCTGAAGCAAAAATTAAATGGTCCATCGCTAATCATGTGAGATGGTGCAACCTAGTTGGTAGCCCTCTGTTTCAGAAAGGTGTAATAAAAAAAAACTTGGGATGAGATGTGTGGAGAGGCCACTATAAATTTCAAGCCAATATAAACAGCCGTACTTCGTAACTGAAATAGACTCGAATCGCAGTATCATTAGGGTATAGTGGATGAGAGCGACACAGCACAGCTATAGTTATTGAGTTCTTCACTTGGCTTTGAGACATTTTGGGAATAACTGTTCACAATTTTTGTGGAAAAATGATATTGGATTTATAACTATAATTATGTCAAGAGTTGGCTTAACTTGATTATTTTTAATTGTTCCAATATCGTGAACATGCCTAGGAAAGCGGCTGTCCTTCATCGTATATTTCCGTACAGAAGTAAGTCCTTCATTTAAGGCATTTGAAAACGTAATCCACAATAATATTTTTTCACCCAAATATCTCATACTTTGTGCCTAACAATGTGCTTTTGTGAAGAGTTCTTCTTCATTACTTTAATATGAAGAAATTCAGCCAAAAGTCATCATATTTTTGTTCGAAGTTTGTGGCGAATATGCTCTAGCGAACGTGCTATGTTGGCATTATTTAAAAGTGGTGATTTTGGGTTGGAAGACGAAGAACATCCCAGATTTAAAGATGAGGTAGTAGAAGCTTTATTAGTTAAAGACTGTTGTAAACACAAAAAGAGTTCTCAAACTCTTTGGTATTATTCTTTAAAGTAAGAAAATTTGATGAATTGAAGTCAAAAGAAATTGTTTTTGCTTCTGATTGTGACTGGTGATGAAAAAAGGATCACTTAGACAACCCTAAAGGAAAAAATTGATATGTTTAGAAAAATTAGTTGCTGAAATCGTACAAAACCCATCCATATAGCTAAAATGCAGCTTATTTATATTCAGTAATTAGTCTCAAAAGCTATAAAACGAGTTCGAACCTGCATAAATGATTTTCATATGGTCAAAGTGTATTAGAACAAGTCCAAATAACCTTATTACGTATACGATCTCACCAATGGCTTACGAATACAACAGCAGAATAATTTTTCACTGGTGGTGATTAAATATTAATAACAATAGATTTTTTCAGCCATACAACTTTGCATACTTGTTAATTAAGCACACAAAAGGCTTTAATCTTTCATAATTTGCATACTTTTAGGTGCACAACCGCCTTCATGAGTGCCAAGTTCAAGCCTACAACATTAAACTGTCACAAAAAATTAAATAACAAATTTTAAATAAAACAAAATCCTCGCCAATCATGCACTACTAAGCGCTGTTATGTATTGCCATCGTTAGAAAATCCTTTTTAATACCGTTACATTGAAAAAGTAACGCAGTTTCCTAACTAAGCGCATTCAATATTTACGCGGAAATGTGCTAATAATAAAAGCCATTGCCGCACAAACAAAGTGGCGACCAAATACAAATCCACATCGAAGAGTGGGTGGGCAAGGTTGTCGCATACTTAATGCCTCCCTCAGAAGGGTTGGTTGGTTGCTGGGTGAGCCATAGTTTGCGCCGAAAGCTTTTACTTCGCGCTAACACATAACTCATCCACGAAAAAGGAGCCGCACGGTCAATTTTAGTTTCACTATGTACACATATTTAAACAAAAGCAACAAAAACAACTACAATGTGCGGGTGTTTTTACTGGACGTATACGATACGTATGCATGGTGACGTATATATGTATGTGTGTGTTTTCGTATCGCTCACGACTTGTAGGAACTGCTCAAGGTCCGGCCAATGTCTTTTGTGCGACTGCATTTTGTATGCTTTTGTATGTGTTGTTATAGCATTTCTGAGTTGTTGTTTTTCTGTGTTGTTTGTTGTTTGTCTGAGTTTTTTCTTATTGTTGTGTATGTAAGTGTAAGTGTCAGCGTCAGCGTCTGTTCGAGCTGCTTTCACATCCGTTTATATGTAATTAAGCAATAATTCAGAGGGCATGCATGCATGTATGTGTGCATGAATTATGTTTGGCGAGTGTGTGAGTGTTATGCTGGCATCATAAAATGCATTACAAGTTTTTCAAGGGCTACGCTATTACTTTCACTTTATTTGTCTGCTTAAGAATATGTATATATACATACAGATATACTATTTGGGGGATCCGTAATTTCTCGAGTTGATTATTCAATTTTTTTATTTTGCAAATGACCGCTGAAGTTGTAATTTTTTCTTAAAAACTAATTCAGCGTAAATAAGCTTTTTAAAGACGTAAACCTACAGATCTCGATAGACATTTGCCTGTGTCTGTGCATCGGTTACAATGCATACATATTCGTCAGCAACACACACGAGGTCATGATTGAGCTCACACCGCTCCAGCTAGTAATCAAACAATAAGCTAAACATACTATACTTCGAAAGACAGCAGAAGGGTATGGCAAAGGGAAAGTAATCTCTCCACGAAAATTAAAGCCATATATGATGAAACACCAATAGCTCTTCTCCCGAGGAAAAGCATTACCAAAAGGGTAAACATCGCAAGAAAATTTAAAGTTACCATCAGCGGTAAGGTTAAATGGAGTAACTCTACGCTTGACTAAATGCTAAGGCATAGCACAATTAAGTGGAACACTGCCGGTTCGAAAAAGTCGGGAGGTATTGATACTGGTATCGCAGGACCGCATACCAAACTTTCCTATGAGTCGTTTCCGAATATTATCCAACCAGAAGTTTTTTTGGCGTTAAGAGTTTTTGAGGGAAAAGTTTTGCGAAAGATGTACGAGATATACGACGACATTGACATAGTTCAGTGATTTAAAAGACAACGGCTACGCTGCTAGCCAGTCATATCGTCAGAATGGATGAAAACACTCAAGCTCGATGGGGAAGGCTGAGGAGAGGAATATCTCCACTCCGTTAGTAAGACCAGAATACTCTCAGAATCTTCAATCCGTTGTTGTAAACTCGGCTATAACCGTTGCAAGTGGTATCTTACCAGAATGGAGCTGCTCCGGAAGGATCAGAGAGTGGACAAGAAAAGGTATTAACAACAACTCACAGGTATGCCAGACCAAGTAGCTAATGATTGGTTGTAACCTGTCAAGGGAGAAATTTCTGGTAGTTGTAACATTTTATTGTAGGCTGAAAAAAACATAATCAAACATGAGTATAGACTCTTGTGCTAACTGTCGGTTGGTGCCGAAAACTGCCGAGCACCTGTTGCCAGAGTGCACAGCAGTCTGTAGACGCACGACAAAGGCCCTTGGATATACATACATACATAAGTATGCCAGAAAAAAAAGTTTTTTACAAGAGCTTGATTTGGATCGTTCAGTTTGTATGGTCCAATATCGGCGGTTCCGATAAATGAGCATCTTTTTGAGGATGTGTGGAAATGTTCAGATCAATATCTCAAAAACTGAGAGACTGCTATCGGTTTAGTTCGTCCTACTGAAATATACGATGCAGTTTTTTCAATAGAATTTTTTTGACAGATCACGCGTAAATCGTATCAAGCTGTCATGCAATTTCTTTTTGTTCAATGCTGTTTGGCATTTCATCATGAAAATACTTATGCCTGAGCAACGTTTACAAATCGTTAAACTTTATTACGAAAGTTCACGTTCGCTTAAC